ATACTTTTTTCCTATCTTAGAGAGTCCTCTAGACGGGAGAGGAAAAATAATAGATATTTAGTCTTTCCTCTTCCTCCTTTTGCTCTTTGTCTTATAAAACTTTGGAATTTCAATCAAATAGAAATGGCATTTTCAGTAACACTTTAAGAAGAAACCGTGCTATTCATCATCCACTGCTATTGTCGAATTAGAGAAGCTGGGTTGAGATCTCCACTCTTTCTTTGCTGGTTGGGTGATTTTAGTCACCAAGCTATTTCTGACCTCAAGGCTAGAAGTCTTTCTGCATCGCACCTGGCTGGATTCTAGTCATCTCTGAAGAATGTGCTTGAATATCACCTTTTCAGAGGTTGGTCCCCTGATATCCAGAGTAGGTCCCTTCCTGCTATTTCTTGGTCACTATTCTGTTCACTTCCTCTCTTGTGAATCTATCACTTGCCTTGTGGTCAGAGGTTGTGTCTCACTGTGCACTGAGTATCTAGCACAGTGGAGACCCAGTAACTTATATGGTTGAACGAGTGAAATTTCTGTGAATTATCCTTCTGATGATTATTTCATAGGGATGTTAGCTCACTTGAATCACAGGTGCCGATGAACTTGCACAGAGCGGGGCAAACAGCAGGCTCCCAGTAAATGCTGGGTTTTTTTCTTCCCCTAGGCACCTTAGGGCTACAAGCTTCAACTCATTTGTTTCTACTGCATTTGACATTCCTTGACTTTCAGGACCAAGTCCTGAGAAATCTCCTCCCATGATGTCTCACAGACCTGCCACTAATCCAGTGTACACCTGTTGCCTCATCTTCCAAACAACTGCCACCGGCCCTTAAGTGGCATTTAGTCTGTGTATATATTATTAAGATCACCCTTCAGGAGAGCATCACTTCTTTCAGCAACTCTGTCTCCACTACATCCACTTACTCCCTCTGCCTTCCAGGCGGGCACTCTATGGAAGAAGCCCTCTTGAACTACCCACTCACTGGGCACAATCTTATTTCTGACTAAGCACTAGTGAGCTATCAGCAGCCTGTTCTCTTACCTTCCTCCTCCCTATTCCTGTACAGCTGATGCTTATTTAGATGTTGGTGCAGCTTAGCTTTAAGGCTTTCCTTCGGCTGCCAAACAGTTCATGGTTCTTTTGCTCCATTCAGATAGAAATCATGACTCAGCACAGTGAAGCTCTGCTGGTGGCTCCGGGCTCTGGGTGCCAAGAGCACTCAGCACTTCTCATTTCAGCTCTGGGCCCTGATGCCGCTGGCTGACACTAGTTCATGAGACACATCATTGGTCAACACTGCCAGTTGCTGGTCTCTGTGTTTCTTGCTGCCAGCAGCTGATGCCAGTTTGTGCCTGACACTGTCAACTGATTCTGACAATTGGATTGCTGTTCTTTGGCTGATCTTCATTTGATACCAGTCTCTGGAGCTCTGCAGTCCCCAGGATTTATTGCACTTTCTTTTAAAGTGACCACTCTGTCCGCAGGGACAAGAATCCTGAGTAGATTTATAGGACCTCCCAAGGCCACACTAAGAAGTAAATCATGAACAGAGTTACAGGACCACTCAAGTGAGGCTGTATTTGAACAAGACCTATGCTGCAGCACAGGGGGTTCAGCATACCAGTGAGCACTCCTAGACCAACTCCAGAAGTATGAGGGACTCCTGCAAGCCTCTGATTGGTCCAAATTTGAGCCTGCTGATTGCTCCAAATTGGTCTAACCTCAAGGCTTCTGATCCAAGCCTACTGACTGATACAAATTCAGTTCTGCTCAGTTTAAAATTGAACCTGCTGCAGTGAGAGCCAGCATCCTTCAAAGGAGGTGGGAGGTATCCAGGACAGCCACAGATGTTATAGCGATGGTTTAGGGGGACAGGGAGATGCCTACTGTTTGATTGACAGTGGTTATGTCTTGGTGAAAAAAGGTGGGACCCAAACTGGGGAATCTGCGGGAGGGCTGGCTGTGCTAATCATAGCTTTGGGGAGTTTCGGGGATTGGGGATATTTAATAATAAGCTCAGATAGCTCCCTGATCACTACCATGTTAAGGGTGGTTTACCCACCACTTCTCCAAAGAGCCAGCAGCATCTGGAATGGTCAGAGGCAGGGAGGCACACCACAGCTGACTGCTGACTACACCTTTATCAGAGTGGCTAGAGAACAGAGGAAGTAACCTGAGAAATGGTGGGAGGACAGAGGCAAGACGCCCCAGTGCCTCATGAGGGGAGAATGAAGTGAAGGTGGGGGACGTGATCGCTCTTGGCCAAACCACTCCCCTATCTGGCCATTGCAGAAAAAAGGGCAGAGTCAGGTGCTTCTCATCTGTCTTTGGCATTTCCTCCTTGAATGAGAACTTGATAGTGAAAAGTGAAATTTACAGTAGTTTTCAATGTCTTCTACCATTTTCCCCATTTAGTCTTAGCTAAGAGTCATTTCCTTCTTCAACTTTTGGAGGACTTTAAGCTTCTTGTTTTATAGACAAAGCCCATATAGAAGGTGTGACTTGCCATGTTCACATGAGGCAAGCGCACAGACTAAGGCCTCTTGCTTCTGTCTAGTATTTTCCCAATTTCATTTACACTTTGACCGTTAGTTGAGCAAGCTTACTTGCTTGTCTTCCTCTTCACCCCTCCTCCTCTAATTCAGTGCTATAAAATTATAAGTTGACTGAAAGAATGGTTTCACAGTTAGTCCACCTTCCATCACCATGACAAATACCTGTGGTACCTGCCTTACGCAGAGAGAAGGTTATTTGGACTCACTGTTGTGGTTTCAGCCTGTGATCAAGTCTACCCATTACTTTTAGGCCTCTGGTGGTGGCGAGGGTGAGAAACTCATCTTCATAGGAGCAGGTGGCCTAGAAAAGCCCTTTACCCCATGGCCAGGATATCAAAGAACAAGAGGAAGGTGCTGGAGTTCCATTATCTTCTTTGAGGAGACAACTCCAGTAACTCAAGGCCCCCCTCTTCAAGTTTCCACCACTTCCCAACAACTAGGTGTGGGAGAAAGGAGGAAGGAGCAGAAGGCTGGTGGATGGAGGGTTTGTGTTCTCGGCTCCTGGCCCGTTACTTTGCCACCTTTGCTGCAGCATTCATCACACAAAATGCTCCAGGGCAGAGTGCACCTCTTGCTCTGTGGACATTTTTTATTCAGTTCCGACACTTTCCCTAGGATGCAAGTACATAGATGGGCGGCTATTATGTGTCTTTACAGCTAAACAAAATGTTGTAAGGGTCAAAATTATACTTATAGAAAATTATACTTTAGAAATAAATATGTGACCATCTGCTATGGCCAGATAGGGGTGTGGTTTGGCCAGGAGCGATCATGTTCTCCTCTTCACTTCCTTTTCCCCCACAAGGGACAGAGACAGCTTGCCTCTGTCCTCCCACCACTTCTCGGGTTACTTCCTCTGTTCTCTGGCCACCCTGACAGGTGTGTCGGCTGTCAGCTGCGGTGTGCCTCCCTGCCTCTGGCCATTCCTTCCTCTTTCCTCCTACCTCACTTAGCGCCCGTGTGTTGTCCATTCTGGCCCCTCAGTGTCTCTCTCGAATCCACACAATCTCCATTGACTGACGTGGCTCACGCTCTTTTTGGTGCTTGGCGGAATTATTTCAAGTCTTCCAGTGAGCCTTCTACATTTCTCTCTTCTGCTCTCTCCTCCACATTGGTTCTGGAGGATCTCTCTAAATCTAAATCCAATTCGCTTCCCCTTTCTGAAAACCCCTCATTCTGTCTACAGGCGCTGAGCTCCGCTGCATGGCTTCCTAAGCCCTCCATGGCCTCCCCCTTGGCTGTGCCTTTAGCCTCATTTCCTGCCCTGCTGTCCTTAACGCTCTGCTCCAGCCCCGCAGGCTTGTTTCCACACGTGGCACGCTGTTTCGTACCTCTGAGTCTTTGTGTGACCAGTGCCCTCTGCTAGGGATCTCGCTTTCCTCTTATTTAACTGGAGAGCTATATTCTTCTTCACAACTGAGTACAGACTCAGCTGACCGTGACTGTTCCCGCCCATTGTCTCTCTGCGCCCTTTTCACAGAATTAAACATTGTCTGTTCACTGCCACTTCCAAACCTCACGTTGCTATCCTCAGGTTTATACTCCATAATGAATATATCATCTGAGTTTTTGTAGGTAATGGTTTTAATTCATCTTTAAATCCTTATCACTCTATGCCTGGTACATAAAAGATATTAAATTTGCATATATATGTTCATAAATTGAGATATAATTCACATACCATAAAATTCACTCTTTAAAGTACATGCTGTGGTTTTAGTATATTCACAAGGTTATGCAGCCAGCTCCACTATCTAATCCCAGAACATTTTTTTAACCATGAAAGCAACCATGTAACTATTGGCAATTTCTTCCAGTTAGTCATTTCCACTGCTTCTTGGGCTCCTAGCCACCACTAATCTGCTTTCTGTTTCTATAAATTTGCCTGTTTGAGCATTTCATATAAATGGAATCATATACTA